ACCTCCATTCTAATCAGATTGAAGCTCCTGCTGCCTTTGTCTCTTTCCAAAGCTCAATTTCAGCCTAGAAAATAAAGGAAAAAATATTAGGGACAGATGGGGCTTTGCCCACTTCGCACAACGCATGGGCGGGGGAAAACTGTATTTAGAGGCGGGATTTTTGTATATTTCAGGGGAATATATATGTGTGCGTGTGTATACCTATACGTATATATGTATTTATACACATACACACACATATATATGTGTGTGTGTGTGTGTCACAATATGTACAAATATGTATATATGAATGTGTGTATCTCTGTGTGTGTGCGTGCATTGATAGAGGGATATATACAAAGAAATATATATTAATATAAACTATTTTTTTCCAAACGGTCGAGGAAAATAAAACGGCAATCTTACGCTGTATATATTTTTATTAATCTTGCCTGTGATTACTACCCGTGGGTACACAAAATATACATTTTTTTCTCAACTAGGCACACAGACACTGCTAAATTGTGCTTAGGGTTTGAAAAAAGCAGTCATTGTTATATATCAAATTGATACAGTAGAGATCTACATTATACTGAAGAGTTCTATAATCATTTCGTATCTCTAATGACACATTTCTGATGAAAAATAAATATCGCGACACACAGCTGCACCACATAGACGTTCCTCTCGGAATGATACGACATGCTTCGGTGCACAAGTGTTTACATGGAACGAGTACCCAGCGATACACAAGGAAGGAGACCCTGTCGTATGGGAAGTTGGACTGAAGCAGGAGACCAAAACAAATTACGGATGAAATCGCTACGAAGACGACTATTGAATTGATGTGTTACTAAATACGGGCTAATTTGTATGTGCATATATATATATATATATATATATATATATATATATATATATATATATATATATATATATATATATATATATATATATATATACTATATATATATATATATATATGTGTGTGTGGTGTTGTGCATGTGCATGTGTGTGTGTGTGTGTGTGTGTGTGTGTGAGTGTGTGTGTGTGATGTGTGTGTGTGTGTGTGTGTGTGTGTGTGTGTGTGTGTGTGTGTGTGTGTGTGTGTGTGTGTGTGTGTGTGTGTGTGTGTGTGTGTGTGTGTGTGTGTGTGTGTGTGTATGTGTGTGTGTGTGTGTGAATATATAATATATGTATATATATGTATACATATGTATATATATATACATATGTATATATATGTACACTGTACATATATATGTATATATATGTATGTATATATATATTATATATAATATATATATATATATATATATATATATATATATATATATATATACATTAAGTTATTTATACGTACATGTATAAATTCACTGACACACACATACACATATATGTGTATATATGTACTGTGTGTGTGTGTGGTGTGTGTGTGTGTGTGTGTGTGTGTGTGTGTGTGTGTGTATGTGTATATATATATATATATATATATATATATATATATATATATATAAAATCGTGTGTGTGTGTGTGTGTGTGTGTGAAAAAAAACAAGCCACAATGAGAACTGAAAGTATGCGTGACCGACGAAAACCGAAATGGATCATCCATTTCGGCTTTAGTCTGAAGAGGAATTCGTAAAAAGTTCGAAACGTCACGCTTATTTCAATTTTCATTGTGGCTATTTTCTTTTTCATTTTTGTGTACACGTTATTGTGTTTTTGCTTGTGTTCACACACACACACACATACATATATATACATGCACTGAATATGTTTTTCCTACTTCTTGATTGCCAAGACTTTTTGTGGTATACAAGACAATTGCAAAGCATTAAAATGATTCATCATGATTTTTACTGTTGACATATATTTAAAAGTGATGAGCCAGTCTCATTTTCATTTAGTCAAACCCTATTCTTTGGTATAATTCAATTGTTCTCATCAGCAAGTCAATTATATCTTCGAGAAAGTTTAGACGGACACCCCGCGCAGTGCACCCGACCACAAAACTCAATTTGAATTCCTGAAAAGACGCGGGAAACTTTGATGACGTCACTGCAGGTGATTGGCCGATTCAGATATTATGTCTGACACAAAATCCTCTATATTCTCAATTCTGGCTGATTTCTTCTGTGTGATATATATATATATATATTTTTTAATTCATTATAGACGACTATGTACAAGTTAGGGTAGAGGCAGAGCGCAATCCATCGGTTTGTACCAGAAATTTCAGACGAACCGGGCAGCCAAAAATAAATGAAAGAAAGGGAGAGTGGACGAGTGAAAAAAGAGAACGAATCGATGAGAGGGAGAAACCAAGAAAGATTAGATAGTGTAAATAAGCAAGGAAAAAAGACAGTAAACAAATGACAGAGAGAGAATGTTGCATATGTTCCATAATAAGAGCTGGGAAGATGAACGGCCCATGCTGACGTCATCAAAATTCAAATCTGTTGGATAGCCGGGGCAGTTTAGAGACAAATGTCATCAAAATTACTTTTCAAATGATTTCATATGGTTTATTCGATTTTTCACGCATTACCAAAGAATAAGTTTAAGCTAAAAAGGATTATTTCTTGACAAAGGCTATATTTAAAAAACATGTTAACAAAAAACATGATTTCTTGCTTCTGTCCAATGTTTTGAATCTGTTCTAACGACGCTTGAATCCAGTGAATGGTATTAAAATCATGGAAGTTATGGAAGGAACCATACATATCGAAATTCTGTCTTTATTTGTCAAATATTTATTCAGTTGTTCAAAAAATTGGTTATCAGCCTTAATTTTGGCACACAAAATCGATAGCATATACAAATATGCATGTGTACATATATATATATATATATATATAATATATAATATATATATATATATATATATATATATATATATAGATATATTAAGTTGTATTTACTGCATATACTGTATATATAGTGTATACTGTATATACTGTGTACTGTGAATATTGTGTGTGGTGTGTGTGTGTGTGGTGTGTGTGTGTGTGTGTGTGTGTGTGTGTGTGTGTGTGTGTGTGTGTGTGTGTGTGTGTGTGTGTGTGTGTGTGTGTGTGTGTGTGTGTGTGTGTGTGTGTGTGTGTGTGTGTGTGTGTGTGTGTGTGTGTGTGTGTGTGTGTGTGTGATGGCACAATCTGACATTATAAAAAGAGAAAATATATATATATACTGTATATATAAACTGTACATACACAAATGTCAAATACCCTACAAATACGAACACAAAAGAGGAAAATGCCCTCAGACAAAATAAAAAACAAACTGAAAAAAGACAAAAAACGACACAAACACACCAGAAAGATACAGGGTTGGCAAGCATGTGTTTAAGAGGTACTGAACACGACCCACAGAGTAGCACTGATCGCATAATGCTGAAGATATTAACAGATGAAATCATTGGCAGAAAATGATGGTGATAGATATGATAATAATGATGACAAAATTATAACAATGAGACTGATAGAAATAATACTGTGATAATATGGATTACGTTGTAAAATAGCAGATCATAACATCAATCTGAATGGTGACCGATAATTTCAAAATGTAACGATAGTGGTAACAATAACGATCATACTCATAATCATAACAATAAAAATAAATCATACCAACCAGAGTACTGGGGGAAAAATAATAAATAAATAAAAAAATAAGCAAAATATTTGTAATAACTGAAATATTTTCCACATCTATATAACATCAGCACGGAAAAACACGCGATAACACATATGGTTCTCAAAATCACCCACCATGACCATTGTGACTGCGAAAATGATTACACTTACAGATTTCTAAATCCAAGACTATTGTATTTTTTCACATTTACACAAAGTGTTTTAAACATGTCCATAAGTAGAAATGTGGACTCTCTTTTTATTTAATACTGACATGCTTTTTTATCGCAACGCCAACTGTTAGCATTGCCAGAGTACATAATGAGACTTACGCTATATCAAATGATACTCTAGGTATGTCCGAAACTATATACATAAATGGCACGATAATACATCCCTAAAAAAAAAACTACAGTAAATATGCTTAATGTATATAATGGTTAGTACAGTATATTATCCATCTACTCTTTAAAATAAATCATATATCTTTAAAAAATAAAATTGTAGCACGTAAAACTACCAACGGCGAATCGTCACAATTAAAAACATTTCGGACACACCTCAATGAATATCAGAATATCACAGAAAGCTTGGAATCCGTCACACATACCACGAGCAGCTTAAACTACTGAATTCCTAACATACATGATTCAGTTTTTTTTTTTTGGCACTTCACATTAAAAACAAACAATGGGTATCCGAATTTATGTTTTTCATGGAGGCGCGGTTTCCTGGCGTGTGTGTGGTGTGGTGTGGTGTGGTGCGGTATAGTGTGGTGTGTTGCGGTGTGGTGTATTTTACTGCCTTGTCTTTTATTGTGTTATGTTGTGTTGTGTTGTGTGTTGTGTGTTTGTTTGTGTTGTGTTGTGTTGTGTTGTGTTGTGTGTGTTGTGTTTGTGTTGTGTGTGTGTGTGTGTGTGTGTGTGTGTGTGTGTGTGTGTGTGTGTGTGTGTGTGTGTGTGTGTGTGTGTGTGTGTGTGTGTGTGTGTGTGTGTGTGTGTGTGTGTGTGTGTGTGATATGTGCGTCTAATTATGCAGATGTGCGCGTTTGACCCCTTCAGTATGCGCCTCATTGTGCTTGCGCATTCTTTTTCTATTCATTCTTCTACATAATAAATTTAACATTATGCTCTGTTTTATTAAATATGACGTCATGTGTGGCATTTTTCTCATTCTTATATTTACATTTTGTTTGCGTTTACCCTATCCATTCTTGGTTTGGTATTATTGTGACATCAGATAGGCAGTAACATATATATATATATATATATATATATATATATATATATATATATATATATATATATATATATATATATATATATATATATATATATATATATATATATATATATATATATATATATATAACATTATGTCTCCAGCTGCACCGTCTCAGCCACAGCTGCACTATAGCCTATATTATTATGATTTCCGTGCACACCGGAGCTTTGCCGTGGTGGCATTCGTAAAGTCTCTCTGTCACGTTATTCTCAGCTGTGTCCTGAAGCGCACTCAGGCAGACTACAGGGATTTCTGTACACTGCTTGGTGCGTATGGCTTTTACCATTTTAGGACATACTCTAGTGACAACGGATAATTTCAGAATTGTTTCAGCTGTCCACAGAGAATGACATAGACGTAACGGGTCATCTTAAGGTCAAATTCGAGTTTAAGACCTTGGATGACCTCCAATGGGATGTCCCTTGACCTCTCGGGCGGTGAGAGTCCTCACACGCCTTCCTCTTGGCTCTTGGCTGACGCTTCGGGCCGGTGGTCGTCCTTGGCCAGGCTGCGGAGGTTGTGGTGCGAGGTCACGGTCCGCTCCAGCCGCGTGGCCCGTCGCGTGAGGCCGGGCGTGATGTCGCGGACGCCGCCCCCGCCGCCCACGCCCGAGCAGGAGGCGTTGCCTTCGGACGGCGAGACCTTCCGCTGCCGGTCCCGTCGCACCGTGGTGTTGCCTGCCGGAGGGGAGCGGCGTTACTCTCGGGTGCTCTCTACAGGCATGGGTTTAGGAAATACCTTTAGAGCTCCGTGATTCTGGTAACACCGTTTAAAAGGAATTGTACAAACTAATTCTGATATATATGTGTAAATACATATAATATAACACCCACACCCACACCCACACATATACATATATATATATATATATATATATATATATATATATATATATATATATATATATATATATATATATATATATATATATATATATATATATATATATATATATATATATATATGTATAATATAAATATATAAACATACATGTGTGTATATATGTATATAAAGATTGATCGATAGTACAAAGGCATATGCCATACAAGCACTTTACACAGACGCAATCACTCACTTCTTTTGATCGTCTGTTTCTTGCGCGCCTGCACCATGCCGTACACGACCGCCGCCAGGGAATTGTAGGTCGAAGGGTGCCGGGTGAAGTTGGCGCGCGCGGAGGCCTTCCTTCCGAGCACGAAGTAGGTGTCCATCTCGCCCTTGCCCTTCACGGCGATCTTCCCGCGGCACTGCAGTCGGAAGCCGCGGAAGTTCAGGATCTGCGGGAGGGGAGGGAGTGTTATGTTGGGGGTGGAGGCGGGGGAGGGGGGTTGGGGGGACGAGGTGGCTGGGGGTTGGGGGACAGAGATGGGGAGGGATGGAGGGAGGGATGGTGGGTGGGGGTGTGGGGAGGGAGGGAGGGAATGAGAGAGAGAAAGTGAGAGAAAGTGAGAGAAAGAGAGAGAGAGAGAGAGAGAGAGAGAGAGAGAGAGAGAGAGAGAACCAGAAAGAAAGAGAGAGAGAGAGAACCAGAATGAAAGAGAAAGAGAAAACCAGAAAGAAAGAGAACCCCAGAGAGATCATACAAACAACACCAACCTCCCCCCCCTACTCCCGCAACACAAACAAACTAAAAAAAAAAAAAAAAAAAAAAAAAAAAAAAAAAAAAAAAAAAAAAGAACCCTCCACAGCCCCCTCACCTGCGCCGTCTCCTTCGGGATCTGGATGGTGTCGTTGGCGCCCGTGGAGTCCATCCTCGAAGCCTCATTGACCGTGTTGCCCCAGACGTCGAAAACCGGCTTCTTGGCCCCGATCACGCCCCCGACGAGAGGGCCGTGGCTGATACCTGAAGGAGGGAACGGAAGGAGGGCGGTTAGACGTCTAGTATTAATCCGCTGATTTACCTTCGTGTTTTTGGTTTTCGTCTTTATTTCGAAAAGGAGATAAGGGAGGAAGGGAAGATCTCAGAGAAGAGGAAGCACGAGATCTAACGAAAAAAGGGGAGAACAAAAAATCTCAAAATACCTCTTCTACTATAAATACCATCATTCACACCATGTCCGAAAATATTCGCAAAATCATCAACCTCAAAAAATAAAAAATAAAATAAAATAAATAAAAGTTAAAAAACATACATATGACAGCATAAATATAACAGCCAATTCCAAGCGGATTCCAAGCACATTCCCAAAAAATACAAGACATCTTCCTCTATACGACACGGACCTACTCTCAGCTTGAAGTTATTGAAGGAGTGTTTGTTGACGTCCTCCAGGCGGGCTTTCATCTCCAGGGCGAAGTCGACGAGGGCGCAGAGGTGGGCGTGGCAGTCCTCGGCGTCCTGGGACAAAGGAAGAAACCTTTCTTAAGGAGGAAGAGCTTATTCTGGAGGACAAGTTTTCTCTCTTTCTTTCTTTCTTTCTCTCTCTTTCTCTCTCTCTCTCTCTCTCTCTCTCTCTCTCTCTCTCTCTCTCTCTCTCTCTCTCTCTCTCTCTCTCTCTCTCTCTCTCTCTTCTCTCTCTCTCTCTCTGTCTCTTGAAGAGGGTAACGTGTGCTACTTCTGTCTTTTGGGAAGTAATTTGCTTTTCAGTCTGAAAAAATCTGACTTTGTCTCTGTCTCTGTCTGTCTGTCTGTCTGCCTCTCTCTCTCTTATCATGAACCTATTATCGTTATGATAATGATTATCATTATTAATAATGTTACTATCATTTTCATTATCTTATCACCATTATCATTATTATTGATATCATTATTATTGTATTTATCATCATTATCACTATACTATGATTGTTGTCATTCTCATTACAATCATCATTATCGATTTCATCTATACCATCAATATTACTATTGTTGCTGTTGTTACTCTTGTTTCAGCACCACCACCATTATCATCGACATGATCATCATTATCATCATCATCGTCACCAACAACATCATCATCATCATCGTCATCATCATCATCACCATTACCATTACTACTACTAATGCTGCTGTTGCACTTACTAGGACATTGTAACTATCCTTACTTTTACTATTACTTCTGTCATCACAACCATTACCTTTATCATTGTCACAATAACACCATCATAATCATCATCATCATCATCATAACCATTGTCAATATCACCTCCACCCTTAATTTTATCACTTTTCTTTTACAATTCCTTTTCCTGTTGTTGTTTTTTTTCATTAAGGTCCATCTCTCCCAATCCGGAATGTATCCTCATTCTCGTAAACGGGTATTGCCTCTTGACCTCAGGACTTCGACTGGGTAGGTGAACCGCAAAGCAAAGGACATCTTGTACTTGCGCTCTGGTTAGTTACTGGACCGTATCCATGTTGGCAAATGTAGAAAAGGTATGGATGAGAATGAATAAATATATCTCTTGTATTGTGACAAATGTAGAAAAGGTATGAATGAGAATGAATAAAATACATCTCTTGTATTGTGACAAATGTAGAAAAGGTATGAATGAGAATGAATAAAATACAGATCTTGTATTGTGACAAAAGTAGAAAAGGTATGAATGAGAATGAATAAAATACATCTCTTGTATTGTGACAAAAGTAGAAAAGGTATGAATGAGAATGAATAAAATACATCTCTTGTATTGTGACAAATGTAGAAAAGGTATGGATGAGAATGAATAAAATACAGATCTTGTGTTGTGACAAAAGTAGAAAAGGTATGAATGAAAATGAATAAAATACATCTCTTGTATTGTGACAAATGTAGAAAAGGTATGAATGAGAATGAATAAAAAACATCTCTTGTATTGTGACAAATGTAGAAAAGGTATGAATGAGAATGAATAAAATACAGATCTTGTATTGTGACAAAAGTTGAAAAGTTATGGATGAGAGTGAATAAAATACATCACTTGTATTGTGACAAATGTAGGAAATGTATGAATGAAAATGAAGAAAATACATCTCTTGTATTGTGAAGATGTTCATTCTCACTCATACCTTTTCTAGTTAGTTATTATTGTATAGGAATATTTTACCTATTTGCTAAAACGAGTAAACTAAAACTAACTTGCAAATGAGCCACCTTACGATAAGCTAATGAGGTTATTAAATAGAATAAGGAAAGAATGACACACTGTTTGGATATTGTTGCTTTTCTAACCATCTACAAGCAGTATTTGACCCGGATTTTATTTGAGTCATATGGCGAATTGATCGCAGACTGGATGTGAATGTTCAAAGGAATTAGTTTAACTGATAGTTTGTGTGAAATGTTTCACCTTACTAATATTTTTAAGTAGTATTTCACCTTACTATTTTTTCTTATCGGTAAAAAACGTTACCGTGCTTTCCCCTCTATATCTTGTCAAGCAATGAAACGACATACGTACTAGCGGTGCAGAAACCAGGGTATTGCCTTGCACAGAAGTCCTTTGGGGTTGTTGAGGGGCCTATCATGTTTATAATAAAAATCAGTCTACCCAAACAATTCATTGGTCATTCATGCGTGAATTAGTAATTCTGGGCTATGTGTTGTCAGTGTCGTAACAGCATATCCCAGTTGGTTTCAAAACAAATAGCAGCTTGTTATTTGGATCTGCAGCATAAGTAAGAAAGGGCCGATTTGCATTCATGCTTACAGTCCCCAAGCATTCTGCAAAATCAATTCCTGGCCCCCCTTCTTCAGTGCATATTTATTGTCTTCTCGAGTTCCTCTTCTTCCTCTTCACGGAAACGTAATTGCGTTCGCACTGCCTCTTCAAATCTTCCTCCTTATCCCTTCTTGCTTCTGACTTACCTTTGGCTGCTTCAATCTTTGTATCTAAGCTTCCTCATGTCTCTCTTTTATGTGTCTCTTCTCCTTTCACACATCCAAAGCAGGGACTCATCTATCGTCCTCTTCTGCTTATGTCGCTTGTCCGTCTTAAAGATTAATTTCTGTGAGAGCCTCTTGGAATATCCTCCAACTAAAACCGACTTATTTTCTTCACATATATACAGAATATCAAAATGATTCTTAGTTGCATTGCTGTCTCTTTTATGTCGTTATTTCACACAAAGTTAATGCGCTTGTAACCATGGCTCCTTTTTGAGTTTCTTTAGTTTAAGACGAGTAGTTTTTACAATAAATGAGCGGTCTCTTTAATAATCTGATCTAGGATAGGTCTTAGTTTGTGCAATAGATTTTTTTTTTGCCGATTTTTATATATTTCACTAATACTCCTACTGCAACCATCAATATTCTCCTCATTCTCAATGGTCTTACTACCTACGGAACATTAGCAATGATTTTACCACTACATTCACCAATATCTCCCTCATTATCATCCTCAGCATCATACATCTGACAAGAATAATAATTCATCAATCTTCATCACTGTTATCTAATTAACAACTACAGTCATTATCATCATCACTATCAAGGAAACCAACCTTAGCCGTGGGGTTGAGACCAGAGGTTGCCATGTACGTGCTTCCAATCGTCTTAATCTTCTCGATGCAGGAAAACCTGTCTTCGTCCAGCAGCTCATCGAAGTCAGCTGGCAAGAAAAAAAAGCTCAGTCATTTTCCTGTTATGATTTTTTCCATCAAATTTCGCCATGTTGTCTATTTCCCTACTTCTTAAAAATTAGTTATTAGTTTTTTTTTTTACTCTATTTTGGGTGTATTTGTTGGGATGAGAAATGTATTTAGTATATTTGCTATCAAGATTGTTTTCAAGTACTGTTCTTTACTGTTGGTGTCGTTTGGTATATTACGTAAAAAACATACATCACTAATTACAAAACCCGCCCTACGCCATCACAACCATACTCACCAAACTCACTATAATCACCTTCCCTGATACCCATAATCATCATCAATCAACCACGTAAACTACCAACAGGTACTCCGTCACTCACCAATGATTTCGTTGAGCAGTCTGATGCACTCCATTCCTCGGTTGACGTCCTCGGAGTAGAATTGCGTGAAATTTGGGATCGAGGCGAAGAGAACTCCCACGTTGTCGTAGGCTTTGGAAAATAGCTCCTGTTGACGAGGTTGGGGATGTTAATTGAGACGTTTGGTGATTTTTTTTATCATTGTTGATTGTGATTTTTTTTTTTTAATGGAATTACTGCGTTGTAATTGTTCTATTGATATTGGGTATAGCTCTTTCTCTCCTCTTCATTTTTTTTTAAACTCTAGTCTCCACTCTTTCTTATCGTTCTCTTTCCCCCCTGCTCTTATCCTTGACCCTGTTCTTAATCTTCTTCTTTCGCTTAAACTTCTCTCCCTAGCCTCTCCTCCCACTCCCTGCCTCCCTATCCTTCCTCCTCCTACTCCCATCCTCCCTTACCTCTCCCTTCCTATCCTCAGACAAGAAATAGGAAGCCACGTGATCGGGAAGGATATTCTTGAGGAGCTGGTTGTTGTACTGCCGGCACTCGCCCATGTCCGCGAGCTCCCTCACCGCCTGCTGCTTCCACACGAAGTCGAGGCGGGACGTGATCTCCACCAGACGCCCGTGGTACGTCACCATGAAGAAGAAAAGCACCAGGAGCACGCCCATCCTCGCCGGGAGGCTGATCACACTCGAGGGCGTGACGACACTGTGGCTCGGGTCGGGCTCGCTGGTAGGGTGAGGGGGGAGGGGGGGGGAGGTGAGAAAGAGGGTATGGTTTGGTGACTGTGGACAGTGTGTTGGTGGAGCGTGGATATTGTGTGGTAGGGTATAGTGGTGTGGTAGGAGAATTCTAGTCTCACGTCCGGTGCGTTAGTGATCGTTGATTTGATGCCTAATGAAGTTGTCGTGTTGCATATTATGTGAACAATGATATGGTAATTGGTGTGTCTGTGGTTGTGAAACGTATATCAATCATAACTGAGACATAATTTGATGACAATACTTCATGGTTTGGTTATTTCTATGTAAGTTTTGTTTTAGCTTAAAGTTGTGTCTCAATTCTCAATATATCCGATTAATTTAAGAAAGAGAATCATGATTTCAAAGAATTCACCAAAATCACAAAATCTAATTAAAAAGAAATCCCTTACCCATCGTGCATGTAGAAGAGGCTCCGGAATTTCAGGATAAGGACGCCATAGCAAGTGACCATGAAGACCAGCACGATCGTCTTCACCAGGTAGTTGAGCTTGAGGAAAGAAGCCAGCGCCACCATGCACAGCACCCACGTGTAGACGAAGTATTGCGGGTACATAGTACGACAGCATTCCTCCAACGCGTCCGGCTGAGCGGTGGATGAGGTTTCCTCCACGTCCGGGTAAGGGGTTTTCCTCGTCGTCTTTGGCATGTCCGTCTGGAAGCCGGCAGCTGAGGCGCCGGAGAAGCTGTTGTTGTCGTGCTCGCTGCCGCCGACCAGCAGCTTGCTCCCCCGCCGACGGATTCGCTTCGGGCCGTCGGTTTGCACGCCGGACGCTTGTTCCGACGCGCTCTTTTGCAAGGTTAAACTGCGGTACCTCTGGAGCACAGCGAAGCTCTCGTCACTACTAGTTCTAGTCCCGGACGCCACACTTAAGGAAGGAAACACATCACCGCTGTCTGCGTGAGGTTGGTACGCCCAACTCTCGGCCTCGCGGTGCCCTGCTCCGTGATTCACCGAGCGCCTCTCCCTCAGGCTCTCCCTCCCCGACCTTCCCCTTGGAACGACGCCGCCCTCTTGTGGCTGCAGGAAGAGCTCATGACCCAACTTATTACCCGCGTGATAGTGATTCCCCGCGTCCTCCGTGTAACTCGATTCCTGGACGACGTGTCTCGGGGCGTGGGAGAGCAGCAGCGACAGAGGAGCCTTGTCAGCGCTGTCTTTCACCACCGTGTCTCCCTGGCCCGGGGGAGGCGAGATTTCGATATTCGTCGGATTTGCCACGTGCATTAAGCTCAGCGGAATGCCATAGGTCTGATTGTCTACATGGCAGCTAGTACAGCAGTTCAAGTCGTCACACACTAGAATCTGAAAAGGCAAAACGAAAATCACTAAAAAGGTCTCAGTGGAAAATCAAGTCTTCAGGAGTTTCATGAACGACAACAGCTGAAATCATACACGACACGTTCTATGTGAGTAAAGGCGTTTTACAGCCACGTTCCTTAAGCTTAGGGTCACACCCGCTAATGGGGTCGCCGAACTTTTTCGGTCGGTCGGCCCTGGCACTATCAAAACTTAGTTCCTCTGCAAACATCAAACGTTATGTATTCTATGAATTAATACAATTTTGTTAATGAAAAATACATCTATTTAAGCAATAGAATGAAAACAAAACAGTCAAGTTAGCTTTAAAACCTATCCTTCCTTGGTAGACGTTGACTAGTGGTGTCGTAGGTGTGAAGAAATGAGCAGGATGGGAGTCGCGACAAAAAGAGGGTGAGAACCGTTCTTTATCACTAGTTCATTCTACTCCCTCCGTTCTCTCTCTCTCTCTCTCTCTCTCTCTCTCTCTCTCTCTCTCTCTCTCTCTCTCTCTCTCTCTCTCTCTCTCTCTCTCTCTCTCTCTCTCTCTCTCTCTCTCTCTCTCTCTCTCTCTCTCTCGTCTCTCTCTCTCTCTCTCTTCTCTCTCCCTCTCTCAAAAAAAATAATATCTAAACTGAAGACATGATAAACAGACGAAAAAATAAATAAATAAGTAACAGCAACCAGGTCCCCCTGCGCCCAGCACCCACCAGCGTTAGCATGGATGGCACGGCGATGATAGCGATGAGGGCGCACACGAACACCTTCCTGCCGAGGGTGGCGCGGGCGAGGCGGGTGGACAGCCTCCGGAGGGTCTTCGGGAGACGAGGGAACTCCTCCGACATGACCAGCAGGAGACCCGCCGCCAGGAGGGTGGACGCCACGAGGAAGGGCAGCACGAGAGCGGACCTCCTGCGGGATAGGAAGGGCAGTCAGCGTTGGTGTTTCCATCTTTAATCTTCTATGGGGATGTAATAACAAAATCGGAATTTGGAGGCAGATGAATGTAAGAGTGTGTGTGTGTGTGTGTGTGTGTGTGTGTGTGTGTGTGTGTGTGTGTGTGTGTGTGTGTGTGTGTGTGTGTGGTGTGTGCGTGTGTGTGTGTGTGTGTGTGTGTGTGTGTGTGTGTATATCTATACAAACATAAACATCTATCTATCAATCTGTCTGTCTATATATGTATATACCCGTATATGTATGTATGTATATAAACATCTAAATAGAAACACTGATTTCTAAACGCTATTTCGCACAAATGTGATACAAAATCGACACAGTCATGGCCAAACCTCTCTCGAACCGTCATACACGACCCTCTCATCAACAACTGTACATCCAATACCAACAAACAGTACCAAAAGCCCATGAAAATAAACAATCCATCCCAACCTCCCTCCATTCCACACAAGAACCCCCCCCCCAACCCCATGGCCCTGCCTCCTAGCCCCTCGCCCCAGCAACCCCCCCCCCCCCCCCCACAACACTCACGAATTCTCCGGCACAACGATGGCTTGGCAGACGGCGATGAGGACCCAGATCACGCAGGTGCAGACGACGTTGCTCTTGAGGAGGTCGGCGCGCACCTGGTGGTACATTTCCTCCATCTCGGGGTCCTTGAAGGTCAGGGTGAAGGGGTTCATGTGCTCGGCTCGCATCCTCTTGTTCGATTCGATCTCGATGCTGTTGTCCATGAGGTTGTCCACCTGGGGGTTGGGCGGAGGCAGAGGTCAATCAGCTTTTAATCAAAGGTTGAATTACAATCTTCGTGGCACTGTTTGGGGGTAAATGGGATGATAAATGGACTTAGATACAGAAGGGAAATGTTATTATAACCTTGGAATCGCTGTAGCTGAAGGTAAATGATAACTTGCCATTGTTAAAGATCAAGATGATAACATAAGTGTTAAAGTGCTAGGTAATAGTGATCTTATGATTGTTAAAGTTAAAGATCTTGAAAAAAAATAAATCTACTAAGATACATATAGAACGACTGAAGATAAAAGTACATTCCCGGATGTGATTAATTTTATGGATGATGCGGATAATCTTCATTTTTATAACACATGTACTGAGACCTAAGCTCCTGGTGATACAGATTTATCTTAAAACAAAAAATATGTAGATTCATATTTATTTTTTATCTCGGCGGAAAATCAAATGGTAAAATAAATCTTTACTTTTAAGATGATCTATATCAAATGTGTTACCAAGAGGATCGGGGAGTTCAAATGATGGTATCATAATAAAACCACAATTTTTGATGAACGTAATACCTATCAATAAAAAAAATAAACCAGATTTGTATCGTTTCGTCGAGAACCCTTTCGTCTGCGTTAGAGTATTATGAGCTTCATAATTAATACGGCCAGAAGCTGCGATGAAACCAAATACGGTCCTGCGAAATTGCAGTTCAGATTAGAGGGGTTTCGGAGCAGTAACGGACAGAGTATTGAATATTGGACATACGCGTGTGTGTGTGTGACTTTATACAATAAACACATACACATATATACATATATATATGAATACACATGCACATACATAGATTTATATATATATATATATATATATATATATATATATATATATATATATATATATATGTGTGTGTGTGTGTGTGTGTGTGTGTGTGTGTGTGTGTGTGTGTGTGGTGTGTGTGTGTGTGTGTGTGTGTGTGTGTGTGTGTGTGTGTATACGAGTATATATACATACTGTATGTATATATACATATATGAATATATATGTATACATCATATAACATACAGGTATGTGAGTGCGTGTACTTGTGTATGCGTGTGTGTATCCAATCAGTATATCCGAACTCCTTACAGCCAAGTAAACCAAAGAGTTTCACCAAAACAAAACACAGCTGACCAACCCCCACTGCCCATGATCCGGACGCTGGCAAACCGGCGCCTTACCTCCTGAGTGAAGGTGCTCGTCGGGTTAGTGAACTGCGTGACCTCGGCCTCCTCGTCCTCGTCCTCCAGGCCCTCTGGGAACTCCTCCTCGAGGAATGCCTCGTCCTCCCAGTCCATCTCGAGCTGTGGGGAGGGAAGAGGTGAGAAAAGATCGTTCGAGAAAAAAGTGATTGAAACTAAAAATTAAATGAGAAATATTTAGATATATGAAATTATGATTGATGTGATTACTTTTTATGTTTATTCTATTTTTGGGGGATATTGATTGTATTTGTTTTAGTTTGGTAAACACAGAAAAAATGCTGATAATATAGCATTATGTATATACATGATATAAACAAAACAATATATGCAGTAATTTTAACCTTACCATCTACTGTACAGAAATATATAGCTTTGTTCTAACGACTGCGTAGAGCTATCACCGTTATAATGGCTAATAGCAAATAGCGATCTAGCTGCTAAAGTTAAGGCAAAAGCAATAATATGATGCTATATACAATGGAAAACGAATTAAGGGAAAAGAAACCCTCATTCGTCCTGCTTAGCTCATCAAGATAATTAGCGTTGAAGATACATACACGTTGCCTTCAGACCAACTAAAAGGTAAAAAATCCCCCCACCCCCCCCCCAAGCTTCAAAGTTAACCACTCGTCCCAACGTGTGAACCGCCAGTTTCGAATCTTGCGTCCGAAACGCGCGGTCCCGATTCGCTCTGGTTTCGGATCCTCGAGTCGAAACTGCTCGCGAAATTCCTACATTGAAAAGCCTACATCGTAAACTTGGAAGTGCAAAGGCTTGTCCCTCTAAAAAGTATTGATCTTAAAGAAACTGTGAAAAATGGAAATCACGTTATAACGGCCTTGTTCAGGAATGTATACAATGTGGGCTTTCAGACTTCTGAACCTTATAAAAACGTTTTTCATGTATCATATCAAAATGAACTTTATGTCCGGGTTTTATACATGTATTTCCTTGTTTTGTATCGTTCAAAGTATCATCATTCTGTAACACATCTTTACTCATTGTGAATTTTTTTTTAAACACAAAAAAGTCTGTATTATCAATACCATCAGTTAATTACCGTTTCTTTCATTATTTTACATAATTGCTTACTTGCTAATTTATTTACTTACCGGTTTGTTTGTTCACTTTTTTCATTCTTTAAATACACAACTATAAACTACAGTGTATGTATTTTTCTTACTGTTTTTACTTCACTTTATTTCCGTTTTTGTGTGTTATGCTCACTGATATGATTATTTAGTAGTCTTCTTTAACTTCAATTTTATTTCTTGGTTCCTGATGAGGCACAAATTCTTTAAAAATAATATATTCAACGAACGTAACAATACGCAAACGCATACACGATTAACATTTAAGAATAAATACACCGGTGAATATTGAAATAAAGGAAACATTGAAACTGAATCCTGTCGCAAGAATATTCACTGTATTCACTACGAACGCGATTTATTCGAAAAACAAACAGCTAAAAGAAAAAAAAAATGGTGTGCAACGAAAACGCACCTAGTTCTTTATGCGTAGCGTTCAGCCCTGCAAAAGATATCGGTACGAATTTGTTAATGTGTACCATATATCACTTATTAGTACATATGGGGTCCTTAACCATGTTGCAACTACACTGAATCCACTATGACCACGAAGCAAGAGCGAGGAGTGAGTAGCGATGCAGCAAGCGAACCGCTAATAATGCAAGACTCACTACGTTCTTTTTCTCCTCCAGCCAAGAAATGTCCTTAAA